GATCAGTCATGGCTATTTGATCAGTCATTGCCATTCGATCAGTCTTGGCTATTTCATCAGCCATGGCTATTTGATCAGTCATGGCTATTTGATCAGTTATGGCTATTTGATCAGTCATGGCTATTTGATCAGTCATGGCTATTTGATCAGTCATTGCCATTTGATCAGTCATTGCTATTTGATCAGTCATGGCTATTTGATCAGTCATTGCCATTTGATCAGTCATGGCTATTTGATCAGTCATTGCCGTTCGATCAGTCATGGCTATTTGATCAGTCATTGCCATTCGATCAGTCATGGCTATTTCATCAGTCATGGCTATTTCATCAGTCATGGCTATTTGATCAGTCATGGCTATTTGATCAGACATGGATCAGTCATGGCTATTTGATCAGTCATGGCTATTTGATCAGTCATGGCTATTTGATCAGTCATGGCTATTTGATCAGTCATTGCCATTTGATCAGTCATGGCTATTTGATCAGTCATGGCTATTTGATCAGTCATTGCCATTTGATCAGTCATTGCTATTCGATCAGTCATGGCTATTTGATCAGTCATGGCTATTCGATCAGTCATGGCTATTTGATCAGTCATGGGTATTTGATCAGTCATGGCTATTTGATCAGTCATGGCCATTCGTTCGAACAGCCGTTGTTTGAGATTATTCGCACTATACGCTTGTAACCGAATATTCCCTTTGGGCTTCAGCTAACCGAATAGTTAAACAGGTAACCGAATACCGATTATTCGACCTTCGACGGATAGCCCTAGTCTCAGTAAACATCAGACAGTAGATTGTTTGAGCTGTCTCTTTAAAAAGTGATATATGGTTTTGAAAGTGCCTAGCTGCTTGAATGCCTGTAGCCGTCTATGCATGCCAATTTTCATTTTCAATTTTCATTAGCTGGAGTTTTGGTATTTCTTGAAATCTAACCAACTGTATTGCGCTATGTGTGTTTTGGTCTCAGAGATGAAGTATTTACGCAAAGACCTTTCGTACAAGGAATGAAACTGTTAAATTGGCTTACTGGTTTCGATATTCCCCGATTCCCCGATTCCCCGATTTCCTGATTCCCTGATTTCCTGATTCCTCGATTCCCAACACTTTTGTATTGGTGTATGGAGCAACGGACATGGCTTGCATCAGAAAAGACATAAATGAATAGACGAGGTCTTTTTCCTTCGAATTAGGAACTTACAATGAACATACAAGTATAAAACAGGCAAGGCATCTACATTCATACATTGTTAACAATTATCATTATAAACACCAAATTCAAAATAGGGTCTTTGCTAATTGCAACAGTCGTCCTATGAAATCGTTTTTGGTCAACGAAAACCTGTACAGTTGTTACTCTTATAGACAAAATAAGTTTCTATGAAATAGTGCAAAAGGCTTCCATCCACTGATATTAACTCGCAGAAATTCGAAAATGACAATTAGAGCTTTCACAACATCATTTGTTCCAACTGCTAAAATATCAAGCCGAATTTATTATAAACCTAGAACTTGCTGATTCAAAAAAAATTTACTCAGTTAAAAAATCATGAAAAATTAAGATAAATTATGGATGAATTTCATCACTAGTTAAAGGTTGGAAAGATAAAGAAAGCGGTGAAGGCGGATGATACGTATGTCAAATATTAAACAGGCAGGAATTTACAGTTACACTTAGAAAAGTGAGTGGATTACACAAGGGCGAAAAGGCGTAAAAACTTCACTGAACTAGCCGACTATCAAATTTGGATAATCTGCGAACAGACAATTTTGGTAAATAATTTCATTCTGTTTGTTAAATACAGGCTGATGTACGAACAGCAGCTTATCTGAGCAGCTTGCCATCACCATGTTCCAGGCTTCAGCATAATGGAGACAACAGGGCCAGACGACAGGGCCAGATGACAGGGCAAAACGACAGGGCCAGACGACAGGGCTAGACGACATGGCCAGACGACAGGGCCAGACCACATGGCCAGACGACAGGGCCAGACGACAGGGCCAAGACAAGTTCTGTTTTCAATAGTTTCTGCTTTCAATGGTCGCTTACCAGTGCAACACTAGGTATCACACTAGCACCAGTCGGCCGTGTAGTTGAACTCTGAAAACAGTGCCTGAAAACACATCGATCATTTACCAAAAGCTCGAAGCAAGTAGAAGCAACACTAATTAAACACAGTGTAATCATTCTTCGTACAAAGAAACTAGAGAAGATACTCGCTGAGCAGCTTAAACTGTGGCTTAGTGAATATAGTTATAATACATATACGCAAAAAGATTCTTTGTATTCGGACCCTTGAAAATCAGACATTCTTCATTGACTAAACGAGGCGTCCGTAAACAATATCAAAATATAGAATACATAAATTTTGCAACCATTTTAGTGAATTGAACTGAAATGCCCTAAGGGAAAGCGTCGAATTTAACGATTATCACGCACCTGTTAAACTGTTATGTTTTGAAAGTTACGGGTTTCAGTAAAATTTCATTATAAATCTATAAAAAGCATTAATAAAGAATGATAAGTATTTACTTGTTCTGAATCGGTTATTCGTTTTTTCTCCTTAGCGGGGGTTAAAACAGGGTCTTCAGAAGTAAATTCTTCATCGAAATTGCTAACATCCTCTGCATGTTTCTGCGAAGAAAAAAACGAGTTTAGTTGATGAAAGTAGTGTGCCAGAAAAATACAAAATTGCTGGACAATTTTCGTTCTAATACTTAACTAATTAAAATGAAAACAATCTTTGTTTTAGAAGCACGTGCGATACATTCGATACTTTTCCAATATGATAACTTTGTTTCTCCCAACCTCAAGAGCTAGAGTATTTTCAAGAATATGCAATGTCCACCGAAGATAAAAAAGCATATTTCATTTCACTAACTTACGATAGTTTGCAAAATGATATTCGAAATTAACAGGAAAGTAATTCAAGGTGGACGGAGAGCAGGAGCATTGCATGGCTTAAGCTAAAGGCTTCCCTTTAGAATAAAACAATAATTCGGATAAACGGTCACAAAGAAGGAAGTAATTGAAAACAGCTTGCTAGGTTAAATGTTAGAATACTTGCCACTTTTGGTTTGAACGGGGGTTTAACACGTCTGTTTAACAGATCGTCCCACCGCAAGTCCTAAAAAACCATAAAGTGTAATTGTTAGGCGTAATATCAAACGATGTTCAGACTTCACAACACAGGCATGCACATGCAAGACTGATGCTGAAAAAGACTGATGCTGAAAAAGACTGGTAAGTAAGCTAGCAACATTTTCTATAGGTCAGGGGGTGTGAATCAAATCTTTCAACAGACTGGAATAAGGCGATAGCACTGCAAGTACAAACCTTGGGAGTTTTATAAAAGAATGTTGTTTCGATACAAAATCACGAGGAAGCAAACCGTAACTAGAGTAAATGTTACTTATTGATAATCTATGTCTCTTTTATTAACAAATCTACGGGGGTAGGGGTACAAAGTTAATATACACAGATTAATAAAACTTCAATCGAGACAGTATATACAAGTCAGCAAAAATTCAAGCCTTCCTTGAAACTTACCCTAAAGAAAGGTTGCTTTTTAATATCTTCTGCATCACGGGGGCTGGAACCTAGTCGCCTGTCTGGGTTCTTTCGCAATAGCTAGGACAAAACAATTCAACTGAACAATACGATGGGTTTTGAAGTGGCTCATATTGTATAAGACCGGCAAAATATCGATGACTGACTATATTAGTTTTTCTGTAGAGCTAAAACGGAGTGACTGACTATGTTGTCAGATAGAACACAAATTACTAGAATTGCAACACGAATGACGAGAATTGCAACACGAATGAAGAAGGGCATGGCAATGCCAGTCATGAACGATTAACAACACTAATTATAATATATTCCCAACAAGCAAATAAAGTGATAATAATAATAAAAAAAATAATAGTAATTTTTTTTAAACATCTTATTTTCATTGAATACATTTTAAATTTACAATTATACGACTCGCGTTTACAGGCATCATACTTGGCTTATCTGCATTACAATATTTAAAAGTCAATTAGTTCGGGGCTTAGCCATGATTTGTTTCGACGACAGAAGATATAGTAGGTGCAGCGGATAGAAATGTTCATGAGTTTCATCAAGATGGATTTAGTTTGATAATACGCCTAGAGCCCGACACGGGCAATACACTAGAAATACTAAATCAAAAAACAAATTTTATTTTAACCTAAATTTCCACTTATAACTTTCTTTCGAGCTCGGTGCTCTTTTCGTCTTTCATAGATCGCAATTCGATTTGCATTCACATTTTGACAGACATTTGCCATGGTTCGTCTCCATAGTTGACGATCAACAACCAGTTCTTGCCATTGGCCCAAGATTCTTCCAGATTTAAGAACGCTTTTGCACGTATCTTTATATCGTAGTTTCGGTCGACCAACAGAACGAGTGCCTTTGTCAAGCTGACCATACATAAGAGCTTTAACGGGACGATTGTCGTTCATTCTTGACACATGACCAAGCCAACGTAGACGATTTGTAATGAGTGTTATTTCTATATCGTCAACATCTGCTCGACGAGTTCTTCATTGCTTACAAAGTCACTCCATTTTATTCGGAGAATCTTCCTCAAATGCCGTTGCTGGACTGTGCGAAGCTGATTGATGTGGTGTCGATACAGTGTCCAGGTTTCAGAACCATACGTAAGAAGTGGTGTTAAACACTGAGCATACACTTTCAGTTTTGTCGATATTGTAAGGTCATGTGAGTCGAATACACGTTCACGGAGCCTGCCATACGCAGAAGACAAAGCTTGTATACGTGTGATGAGCTCGGTGTTCATTGAACAATCGTTAGTAACAATGCTTCCAAGGTATTTGAAACGATTCACGCTTTTGATTGGTGTACCGTCAATGAAAAACTCCTCTTCCGGACCAATGGACATTGTCTCGGTTTTCTTTATATTGATCGAAAGCCCCATTCGTTTAGCCATGTTATTATAGGCGTTTAATAGAACCTGTAGTCCAAGTGCCGAGTCACTGAAGATTGCAATATATCGTCAGCATATTGTGCTTCTCTGATGAAATCGATAAAGGTTTTCGTTTTGGCTTTCAATCTACTCAAATCGAAGAGATCACCGTCATACCGAAATCTGATTTTTACGCTGAATTGATGACCAATGGTTGCATAAGCGAGCAAGAGAAGTACAGCAGCGTAGATGCCATACAAGGTGGGCGCTAGCTTGCACCCTTGCTTTACACCACTATTGTATTCAAACGGTTCTGTTAGGACACCATCTACAATTAGACGAGCATTAACTTCGGAATAGAGGCTTTGAATAAGTCTGATGAATTTTGGAGGACAGCCGAGCTTTCCCAAGATTTTAAACAAAAAGTCTCTGTTGACGGTATCAAACGCCTTGGTAAAGTCGACAAAAACAATATACATATTTTGTCGTTGCTCTCTGGTTTTTTCCATCAGTTGTTTCAGAGTAAAGATTCCGTCGATGGTACTTCTGTTCTCACGGTAGCCGGATTGGGACTGGGGATACACTTTGTCAGCTATACGTTTAAGCCTTTGCAGGAGAATGTCAGCAAACAACCTTCCTACAACACTTAGGAGGGAAATGCCACGGTAGTTTCCGCATTGAATTCGATCCCCTTTCTTGATTTAGTTTGATTTGAGTCAAAATTAAGTTGGTGTAGCATGTCAGAGAGAGAGGTAGATGAGGTTCCCAGAATGCCAAGGGCACTCATAGAAAGGTTAACAAAGGTAACACGTTTATAGGCAGGGCTCAGTTCCTTGATAATATCGCTATATTTCTTAGCTTTTCGAGTACTGTTTTCGTCGATGTTGCTTTCGAACCCAACAGTAAGCTCTAGCATGTAAAGGATTCGATCTTCAGTTACAAAGACAAGATCTGGTCGATAGGAGTCGCCTGTGATTAAAGAAGGTGATAGAAATGAAGGTAGGTCGGCGTAAAGTGAGCTGTTTCTAGGTGTTGAAAGGGTTTTAGCCAAATATAGAAGTACAGAATCATGTCTCCAGGTATACCTTCCATGTTCAAGATAATTCTTGCAGCTAGAGACTATGTGTTGTAATGATTCTGATTGGAGACAGAAAGAGTAGGCAGATGACTGAGTAATTGACCATTTGCAGAGGTTTTTCCAAGTGGCAAGAGTGTTGTTTAGGTATTTGATGGTAAAGTTGTAAATGTTTTTGGTAACTTTTGCTGGACACTAGACCAAAGTTGATAAGTTCCCTTAGAAGCAAATTTTAAGATGCACGAGATAATAAATCCTTGAGATGTAAGAACGTTTTCAATGCGGTTTTCGTGTTCACTTTGGATGGATTTGAGAACTTGTTTGGTGTTGCGATAAACGTCATACTGTATGTTTGTACCAGTGCTAGAGTCTTTCCATAAAGAGCGAATCTCTTGGTTTGGGGACAGTCTTAAAGAGTTGCGGATAACTGTTTAGCATTGTAAGAACTTGGTAGATGGAAGAATGAGATTGATGCCAAACTTCGATTTTGGAATGACGAGGCTACTTAGTGAAGCACTTATTGGCAGCTCGAGCCATTGTCTAACAAAGCTTGAAACAACATTGTCTAGATTCTCTGTCACCCATGTCTTGCATAAATCAGCGATGGTAAGGTTCCAGGAAATTTTGGATAGCACATATCTTTGGTATAACATAATTTTGTTCTTTGGATGACACGACAATTTGTCGATACTGGACATTAACGAGTTGACAGTTCTTCGCTATCACCACATCCCTGAGCACATTCAAAACATTATCTGCAGCCTTTATGCTGATTTTAAAACATCTATCATAACCGATACATTTCGTACCCCTTTTATACCGGTAGGTCGCGGTGTCCTTCAGGGTGATTGCCTTAGCCCATTAACCTTCAATCTTTGCTTTAATACTTTCATTCATTACATCTCAGATAATAAATTCAACCAGTTCGGCTTCTATACAAACTCCTTAAACCCTGTCCATTGGTTTCAGTTCGCTGACGATGCGGCAGTGGTTACTGGTCAAGAAAACGAAAATCAAATTCTCTTAAACCACTTCTCTAGATGGTGCTCTTGGGCAAACATGCATATTCGGGTTGACAAGTGCTCAACATTTGGAATTAAAAAATCATCTACTTCATCTGTTATAGTAATAATAATAATAATAATGGAAACTTTTCATTTTCAATTCAATTAAAACTACAATTACAAATTTCACTATTACAAAGGTAATTTGCAATTGGCTAGCCTGGGTTTACAAAAAAAAGACTATTACAAGCACAAACAAAATAATAATAATAATAATAATAATAATGGAAACTTTTCATTTTCAATTCAATTAAAACTACAATTACAAATTTCACTATTACAAAGGTAATTTGCAATTGGCTAGCCTGGGTTTACAAAGAAAAAGACTATTACAAGCATAAACAAAAGAAAATAACAAAAAAAGGAAAAAGTGTGTTCGTCATTGTTTGTTTTAGAAGTCGTCAGTAGCAGAGATCGTTAGAACTGAAGAAGTTCAGGATTATTCCAAGATTTATTTCTGCGGCAGAAAATGTAATAGGTAGTACGGATAGTTAAGTTGGATAGTTTGGAGATCATGAAGCGGAGATGATTCTCGCTGATATCTAGAGCGTTGCACATGTCGATGAAAGAGGAGCAAGAGAGACCAAAGATACCTAGGGAACTGATAGAAAGATTAACAAACATGATAGAGGAATAGGCTGAGCTTAGGCTGTGAATGAGATTCGAGTATTTCTCTCTTTTGCGGTTAGCATTAACATCCAAGTTAGTTTCGTATCCTACTGTAAGCTCGAGTATGAATAGTCGATGGTCAGAAGTGACTAGAAGTAGATCAGGACGGAAAGAGTCTCCTGTTATGATAGAGGGTGAGAGATAACCTGAAAGATCTGCGTAAAGAGAGCAATTAGGTATAGCTTTTAAAGATTGTGCTTGGAAGTTCAATGCAAAGTTATGGCGCCATGTATAACGGCCTTCTTCGAGGTATGTTTTGCAGCCTGCAACAATGTGAAGTAACGTTTCTGGCATATGGCAAAAAGAGCAATCGGACGACTGAGTAATGTTCCATTTAGATAGGTTTTTTCGCGTGGCAAGGGAGTTGCTAAGATATTTGATAGTAAAACTGTAAATGTTCTTGGGCATGTTGCTTTGAACCGTGGTCCATATTTTAGAGGCTATAGGAAGAGAGTGGTCAAAGATGAAGGAAAGAACGGTACCTTGAGATACAAGATGGTTTGAAGGCGCTCTTTATGTTCTGATCTAACAGCCTTCAATACTTTTCTAGTATTCCTGTAAACATCATATTGGATGTTCATGCTCTGGCTGGTATTTTTCCACAAAGATTGGATGTTTTTGTTGGGAGAGGATTTCAGTGCATTACGACAAACAGTTTGACACTGCATGAATTTAACAGAAGGAAGAATCAAGTTAAGACCGAACTGGTTTTTTGACAGAATAATGCCACTTAAAGTAGCACTTATGGGTAGATCGAGCCAACGGCGGATAAATGCAGAAACTTGATTATCAAGGTTTTCGACGATCCAGGTTTTTGATAGATTGGCTACTGTGAGGTACCACGAAACTTGTGAGAGAAGATAGCTGTTATAAAGAAGCAGCTTATTCTTTGGATGGAGAGGTAAAGAATCAATTTGCGTTAGGAGTTCTGTGAAGATGGAGCTGAGCTTAGACATATGTTCTTGGTTGCTCATATTAAAGTCGAAGTGACGCCCAAGATACTTAAAAGACTCTCCAGTTATGACAGGAGGGACCATTTCATTATTGATGAAGAGCTTTGGCTGATATTGTAGGGAGCGTGTTGAGAATTTTTTAATACCAAAGGTTGTGCATTTGTCTACTCTTATAATCATGTTAGACCATTGACACCATCTTGTAAAGCAGTTTAAGAGTAGCTGGTTTAATAATAATAATAATAATAATAATAATAATAATAATAATAATAATAATAATAATAATAATAATAATAATAATAATAAATAATAAATAAAAACAGATGTTAGAACTCACCCGTCGCATTAAGGCAATCGCCTCGTTGGAAAGAAATCTTGGGTACCTAACTTCATCATTAACAATGCTATCGAAAACTTCTTCTTCGTCGTCACCAGGGAATGGAGACTAGAAAAAACATCAGTTTTGTAACAATACACTGAAAACGCTAATAAATGAGAAGAACAAGATAAAATCAGTATTGCAGCTCTTACGTTCAAGGGCGTACAAAGCACACGTATTTACTTGTTCGACATGATCGCCTGACGTTTGAACATGATGCGATCGCAGTTGGATGATAAAGGATTTTCGTGTAATTTTAAAAATTAACCACAACACAAAAAATATAAAACACGGCAGGGAAGAAACATGGGGAAATCTAGCTGATAAAGGTTTATTTCATTAGCATTTACATCTATATGCACGTGCTAACCAAGGAAGCAATAGAAAACGCCTATATGATGATTGTCCAGCATGTTCATGTATAGTTGTCTAGTGACCAACCACAAGACATTTGAAAGTAATTCGAGTAACAAACTGCAAAATACTAACCTCTCCTACCAACATTTCAAAAATCAATACACCTAGACCCCACCAGTCTACAGCTCGAGTATACGATGTTTCTGTTAAAACCTAAAAGTCTCTTTTAGAAGCATTGTGTCAGTCTTCATTTTCCATAGTTTAGTGTTTAGAACATTGACTGAGCTGAGGTATTGGCAGTTGACAAAGGAATTGAATAAATGGTTGGAATGCGATGACGTCATACTACCACTCAGGCACCAGATTGCCATAGCTTGTATAACGTCATGTACGTTAGCTGACTATGATATAGTGCCGAGTGAAGCCTAGCCTGCGCGCAGACCCAGTATTCTGAAAAAGAAAGGGTCTGCGCAAAAATGACCAAAAGCTTGCTACGCACTTTGTAAAATTAATTATGAGAGTTCTTAATTTATGCATATATTCAGAATACTGGGTCTGCGCAGGCTAGTGAAACCTGAAAGAACTAGCTCATGCTACGAGGCTTAGCATGTATCTGTCGGGAAAATTTTACAAAAGAATGATAGTAGACAACTTTATTTGAGACGAAATGCCCCATGATAGTGAACAAATTCAATTATGTATCATAATTCGTTTATATCTGATTAATGAATGTTGATTTGTCATGGCTAAGTTCTTCCAATGAAATCGAGGTTGAAGGGGGAACCGACGAGAGTTATCCTTCTGCCTATTTCCTTTTCTGTGGCGAAAGCATATCTGATTCACCAGTTTACACGAGATGGAATGTGGTGCGGGACGTATCGGATCACTTTTCATACCTCTTTCACAGCGGAGTGATTTCACTCCGCAAAAGTGGTACAGGACGTATCGGATTAATGCGGGCCCGTGTAAACGGGACCCCTATCCGATTTAAAAAGTAATCCGATACGTGGGTAATCCGGTATCGTGTAAACCCAGCCTAACTCATATCGTGATCAACACATACTCTAATAACATAAACGGGAGCTAATTATCAGGACAATACGAATTTTCCCGATTTTCCCCGATTCCCCAGTTTCCCGATTCCCCGGTTTCCCGATTACCCGATTCCCCATTCCCTGTTTTAGTAATAGCCAAACACAAATGTCTTTTTGGAAATCTTCATTGGTTTTCATTTCTTTGTTGAAAATAAGCTTATTGTTTCATGATCGAATCCCTCTGGGGCTTATTGAAACGCATAATTTGGCAAGTTAGGGTTGGGGCCTAATAAAAATTTTGACTTCTGGGGATAGCGCTTTTTCGAGGAGGGATTATACGAGGAGAGGCAATTCGAGGATTTACGGCATGACCACCACCGATTCTCAGATTTTTTGTTACGTCAATGACATGTGATATCCGAAAATATATTCTCTCACGTGACCATAAATATGCAAGATTGCCACAGACAACTAGCAGAGAGGGCGTTCACAAAATGGATGATAACTCTGCTCGAGCTAAAGATTGTTAGTTTCATGTAAAACCTTGGATTTAACAGGCCAGTCTTACTTCTGCATCGAATATGAAAAAGGTTCGTTTTCCAAATTTTTTCCAAAAATCAACAATTTTATATAATTCAATTAACGATTAACGATTTTTATAAATAGGCCTAGCTGAGCTTCGTATTTTGTTCACTTATTTGACACTTCAAGCGGAACCCAAGAAGTCACGAAAATACTACACACACGGACGTTCCCTGTAAATTCGCCATATATCTAAAACTTTCCACTCAGAGGAGTAGATCATATCACAGGGCCTTTTTGTTATATGCAATAACCTTCAGCTTGTTGGGAGATTATTTGGCAATTATTTGGAAGACGATAGACGATATGAATTCAATCTAAACTCTCTCGGTGCATTTTGAATGTTGAGATGAAAGGAACTTCGCAATTTGATCTTTTTGGCGCTAATGTAGTAATGTACCTCTCAGGATCTATAGGTCCTACATAGGTAAACTATATACCAAACGATCTTTTTATAGATGATGCATGTCTTCGTTCGGCGGTTTTTTGCTATTTGAAACGATGATGTTTCGCAACCTCTAGTTTTTAGACGTTTTCTATGCCTCTGCAGAATGTATGGAGTGAGGTGGAGGCCAAATTAATTTGCCGATTTGATCGTGCTTCAAGGCTAAAGGATGTTTGTTATGAAATTGATATTCTTTGCATAGGGCAAGGCATTTAGACATTTGCCCATCTAGATATCACGGTGCCCTGTGATAAAGCAGTCAAACGGCCTTAATATATGACTATCAGATAAATCAAACTAGCATGAGAATTAAAATTTGTAGTTCTGGTTGTATCAACTTGTTTTATAAATTAAAAGCCTATTACAACCACCCTGACTTCAATATTTTTTCCACTATCACTCATATATTTCTTTGAAGAAATATTCTTATAATTCATGATCTACTGAAGTGTTGAAAAACTTGCTCTGCTCTGGTGAGAAACACTATAATTTATAGTATAAAAGATGTTTTGACCCACTTTCAATGAATTTTTATTTTGTATCAAAGGAGGTCCTCTACTTGCTATGATCAGTTGAATTTTTTCACGCTCCTCTAATTTTGAGAACCCTCAAACTTCAGCAAACAGTAGCTAACAAACAATGTGACACACAGTGGCCGACACTTGAGGGGGGCGAGGGGGGGCAACTGCACCCCCAATACTTTAGAGAACAATGGTCTTTTGTTCTAAAACAATGGGAAAAGTGACGTCATCTTATTAAAACAATAGGCTTGCCCCCCCCCAATATTTGACCAAGTGTCCGCCACTGGTGACACACTGCCTTAATTAATATGGTCTTTATTGATTAATATAATTTAATTAATATAATTAATACTGTGTCACAAGGTGACTCAGAGATTATACTACCTGTTAAAGGCAGTATGTCCCTTATTGTTCTCAGAATCTCTTTTCATGGCCACGATATTCATGCATCGTTGATTCAATGCACAAATAAACAATCAGAATGAAGATTGACAATAGCGTAATTTTCCTGAGCATTGCGACGGGGACAGACTGCCTTTAAGAACTCAATTTTCTGCTACAATTTTATTATGTTTACTACAGCGCGTCATCTCCCAACTCTCCTAAAATTAACTTTTCTTTACACATAACATACCCAACAAAACAATATAACAAATCACTGCAACACACATTTAACATCCCTGGGAACATTCACTCGCAACTACAGAACAGAACAAATGCACAGTTATAACCCTTGAGCACCACTGAACCAATAATGACAGCCACACTACATCAGTTGCTTTACACAACAAGATTACTCCAAATACGTAATTATAATTATAATAATTTAAGCGCATGAAACATAATGTAACAGTGGCAACAGGCAAGTTGAGTGAAAGTTATATGGGTGAAACAGCCAGGTGTTCAATAGGAAAACCAATATGGAATATTTTTGTGTCCGTACTCATCATGCAAAGTTTTTGAATTTTATTGTATTGCGAAAGGAAACAAATAATAAAGGCTTTTTCTTCAATCTTATCACCATATTTCTTTAGATAAACAATTATGATGTGAAATAAACGAAGGCCACTTTTACAGCTAGGATACAGCGACTTACATGGAGCAGTTAATAAAAATGGGCCAAACTGACACCAAAAAACCTACCTTACCGATATAAATTATGAGCAAAAAAAATTTTAAAGTTTGCAGGAAAATTTTAAAGTAATTATTTAGTTGTAAAGTCATCTATATTCACCAAGAGAAACGAAATCATTCGCCATTGATTAGATGCAGCTTCTTTTCCTTGGCATAGACCAATTGCTTGACACAATTTGTGTTGATCTTTTGATACAAAAGGTTGAAATATAGTAATTGTCTGTTCCATGTTCAGCTCATAAAACACAATTTATCAAGCTTATTGAATCACCAGAGCACCATCCACCATTATCCAAATTTACATGTTAGCCGAACATGCATAATGTCCCATATATTTGTTTTGTTTACGAAACCATGACACAGCCCCTTTAAAGCCCCTTGGACCGGATGTTTTTGTTAAATGCATTGTATAGTAGCATAATTTGTCATTTGTTACAAAGGTAAACTTGAGAAAATGGTGTTTAAAATCTTGCTTATTTATAGATTTGAAGATGGTTTTTGCAGTGCAATATGAGAGAGCCAAATTTTTCTAGGCAATTTTTTTTTCAAAACAAAAACACAGCAAAAGTGAATTTAGTAAACTGTAAACATGGATTGTTGATGCTCAAGTGTGTCAAGTTAAAGATTTTGACAGTACCATTGACGGTGACAGTAATAAAGTAATTTTGTTATTTGCTCATATTATTTGCAAGAAGTTAGGCAGTGGCGGAAATTATGGGGTTTGGGGGGGGGGCTCGGGCCCCCCAATCAGCGATCAGTACCATTGAGGGTGACAGTAATAAAGATTTTCAAAAGGATCTTTTATATTCTAGACAATTTAGATAGACCTTCCTTTATTTTTCAATTTAATTCTTGGCTGCACAATGTGAAGACAATACAGTCTTCCACATTTATGATTTATTT